TAATCAAACCAATTGCTATTCATTTTTATCAATGAACAAGTATTATGATAAGAAAATGCAACATTTGTGTAATATTTCAAATATTATACATTGAATTAATAATTTATGCATTGAAAAATATTTTTTTATTGTAATAAATACTTATCATTTTGTAATTGTAATAAATATTTATTAATATGAATATTCTCAATTTTATTAATATATATTTACTAATATAAATGTAAATTATGTTAATGTTTGAAAATTCAAATGAATTATTTGATATTTGTAATAAATCAAAAATTGCACATAACTATGCAAATTCGAAACATATTTGAACATCTGTTATTCTGATTTCATGAATATCATAAAGATTATTTTGCAAGTTTCTTGCACAGAAAAATTTTAAAAGTGTACAGTAAGATTCGTATTATAAGTTATAGATTAAATTTATAAATTATGAGTTACATTAGAATTGCATAGTGAATATGTGATCCAATAAGAAAAAAATATACATACGCCTGCCTTTATTAAAACAATTCAATTGTTATAAAATCTGCATAAGAAATCAGCAAATTGATCATCAATCCGTCTGTGCCGTCCATTTTGAATCAACTTGAGTTAACGGTTATTAATCGTCCGTGGCGTTCGTGCTGTAAACCCCCATTCTTTCAACCAGACGATCAGCCAATAAACTATGCAATAAAGAAGCCAAAAATCAAGTAAATATATGATAAATATATTTAACAATAATTTATAACAATTAAACCAATTATATTAAAATAAAATAATAATACAAAGTCTCAAAAGCTTATAATATGAACCGGTGTCTCTGGTTTGCAAGTACGCAATCAACGACGAAAGAATAAAAATATTCGGAAAAACTACTTAATTTTACTAAAATGATAATTAATAAGTGATTAAATAAAGACATACTAATTAAATGAAGCTGATAGAAGTGTAGAAATGATGACAAAGTGGAAATAAAAGTATATTGCGTAGTTAATAATGATCGGATAACACGACGCGTCTTCCTCGTATGAATGTCAAAAGTGTAATGCTACCTCGCGCCACACATCGCCTTCTAATGTTATGATTGGAGGTAACTTGTATAATTCTAAACCAATAAGAACGCGTGAATTTTGCTTATATAAGCGCGCGCTAATTTGATCTAATCAAATATTCAAAATGATTAAATTGACGAATACAAAACGTAATTAAACACAATGTTCTCAAGTAATTACGAAAAAATTATGTTCTTAATTTGGAAAATATATGTATCTATATCTACTATTTAATAAAATAGAATTATTAATAAAATATTATTATAGTATATCATTTGATTATTCAATAATTAATAAACAGTTAACAAACATATTTCATTAATTAAAACTCATTAATCGAGAAAAAATAAATAAATGCTCCTGTCTTATTAACACGTCTTATGTGTCTTATTAAAAATAAATATCATTATTAAAAATCATTAATAATTAGTAACTTGAAATAGAAATTATTTTAATTTTCAAAAAATAAATTTTGTCAATTGAAATTAATAAGAATAAGAACATCGAGCATTTCAATATTATTTCTTACTTTGTTATTAATTAACAACATTGTTAATACGTACATAATAAAATTTAATAAGGTTACTTTTTTTTGCAATTGAGTTATTTCGTTACTAACATATGCTATAGTTATTTCCTGCAACAAAATTATTTCGTTACTAATATACGTTAAAGTTATTTTCTTTATTACTAACACATGCTAAAATCATTTTCTACGTGATAACAATGTAATTTTTCGACATAATAATATTGTATACAAATGTTTCTGTAACCTTTGTGTAGCTATTGTATAGCAAATCTTGTATTTTATAACGTTTATACATTGATTTCAAGTTTATGAAGAAACAATTTGGTTCAATTCCAATATCATGTATTTATATGTAAGTTTCCAATACTTGTGTATGTAATAAAAGTACGAAAATGGACGAAGTTGCAAAGCTCGAGCATTTGTCTTTGGTTTCAAAGATCTGCACAGAACTGGAAAATCATTTGGGGCTAAATGATAAAGATTTAGGTATAAAATATTATTTCTATTTGTATTAATAAAAACACAGATTTTATTCTGATGCTACCATAACCTATATTTCTTATATACACATGTCTCAATTCTTTCAAATTATCTTATTGTTTACATTTTCTTATTGATTAAATTATATCTCCTCTTCACAGCTGAATTCATAATCCATTTAGCAGAGAAAAATAATACGTTTGATAAATTTAAAAAAGTCCTTATTGAAAATGGCGCGGAATTCTCTGTAAGTAGTTTATATACTCTTGTACTTATTTATATCTTGTACTTCTGTTGTATTTAAGTTCAACATTGAATTGTCCATTTAGGAGTCTTTTATGGCTAATTTATTGAGAATAATACAGCATATGAAGCCAACCAAGCTGGATGAAAAATCTTCAAAACCTGTAACAAAACAAGATGAATTAGCTCAAAAATTCCCTGCACTGGCACTGCCAAATGAGGAGCCAAAAGTTGTGAATGACAAAGATCTCAAAGATGATGATATAGTCAATAGTGCTATGGCAAGTTTGGAGGAACTTGCACCATCAAAAAAATCTAATAAAGAAGATAGTAAAAAGGAAAATCAATCAAGCGACAATAATGATAAGAAGAGCAGACACACAAGAAGAAGTAGATCAAGAGATAGAAGGAGACATAGATCACGTTCATCAGGTCACAGAGATAGAAAACATAGATCTAGATCTCGTTCAAGATCAAGAGATCGCTCAAGATCCAGAGACAAAAGACACCATAGATCCAGAAATCATAGAAGATCTAGATCACGAGACAGAAAATTTCATAGAGACAAATATTTTAATAAATCCGAGCGATCTAGATCGCGGTCTGTAGAAGAACTTTCCATGGATCCAGAAGTAGGAAAGATTTATTCAGGAAAAGTAGCTAATATTGTACCTTTTGGTTGTTTCGTTCAATTGGAGGGTTTGAAACGAAGGTGGGAGGGGCTTGTTCATATCTCACAATTAAGAAGAGAAGGAAGAGTCGCCAGTGCAAGCGACGTAGTATCTAGAGGACAAAAAGTGCTCGTAAAAGTCCTGAATATCGGTGGACAAAAGGTATGCACTTTTAAAATAAAGTAGATATGTATCTAAATTGATTCAAGTTTTATATATATCATATATATATTTTAATAGATTTCTTTAAGTATGAAAGATGTCGATCAAGAAACTGGTAGAGATCTGAATCCTGTTGTGGTTGTTACCAAAACTGAAGAAGATGAGAAGCATTTGAGAAATCCAGACAGACCTACTTCCTTATTAGAGCTACAGGGTAATTGGGATGAGGACGAAACTTATTCTAGAAAACGCGTGCAGAGATTGTCCTCACCCGAGAAATGGGAGATTAAACAGATGCTTGCTGCATCTTGTATCGACAGGTATTATATAGTTGTCTAAATAATCAAATTTCATAATGTAGTAACTTCATCATTTGAATTTTATTTCTTCCTACAGGAGTGAACTACCAGAATTCGATATGGAAACCGGAATTCTTCCACGGGAAGATGATGAAGAAGAAGATGTTGAAATAGAGTTAGTGGAAGAAGAACCACCATTTTTACATGGCCATGGAAGAGCTCTCGGAGACTTAAGTCCCGTTCGTATAGTAAAAAATCCTGATGGTTCTTTAGCACAAGCTGCAATGATGCAGAGTGCTTTAGCAAAGGAAAGAAGAGAGCAGAAGATGTTGCAACGAGAACAGGAAATGGATTCTGTTCCAACAGGTCTGAACAAAAATTGGATTGATCCTCTACCAGAAGGTAATCAATACATTTCTACGTACTTTTGAAAATTTCTTAATAAAAGGTACTATAAACAACACGATTTTTGTACAGCTGAAAGTAGAACTCTAGCTGCGAATATGCGTGGAATCGGTCTTCAAACTCAAGACCTACCCGAATGGAAAAAGCACGTGATAGGAGGAAAGAAGTCTTCCTTTGGAAAGAAAACAAATTTAACTCTCCTCGAACAGCGTCAGAATTTGCCGATATACAAACTCAGAGATGATTTAGTTAAAGCCGTAACGGATAATCAAATTTTAATTGTAATTGGTGAAACAGGGTCAGGAAAAACTACGCAAATTACACAGTATTTAGCAGAAGCAGGATTCACGGCCCGTGGAAAAATCGGCTGTACCCAACCTAGAAGAGTAGCCGCTATGTCGGTCGCCAAAAGAGTAGCGGAAGAGTTTGGTTGTCGTTTAGGACAAGAAGTTGGCTACACAATTCGTTTTGAAGACTGCACTGGACCAGAAACTAGTATAAAGTAAGTAATATATTTGTTAATTTTATGGATACAATTGTTTAATATTGATGTTCAATTTTGCAGGTATATGACTGATGGTATGTTGCTAAGAGAATGTCTTATGGATCTTGATTTGAAGACGTACTCTGTAATTATGTTAGACGAAGCACATGAACGCACCATTCATACGGATGTTCTTTTTGGATTGTTAAAACAAGCAGTAGGAAGGAGACCGGACTTAAAATTAATTGTTACAAGTGCCACTCTAGATGCTGTAAAATTTTCACAATATTTCTTTGAAGCACCCATTTTCACTATCCCTGGTAGAACATTCGAGGTTGAAGTAAGTCATTTAAATATACGTCTATAACTAAACTCGTTATACTCAAAAGTATTAATTAAAACTATTTTTATTTTAAACAGGTCATGTACACCAAAGAACCAGAAACAGATTATCTGGATGCTGCATTGATAACAGTAATGCAGATACACTTGAGAGAACCTCCAGGAGATATACTGCTATTTCTGACTGGTCAAGAGGAAATTGACACAGCTTGTGAAATTTTGTACGAACGTATGAAATCTTTGGGTCCCGATGTACCGGAGTTAATTATTTTACCCGTGTATTCAGCACTTCCTTCGGAGATGCAAACCAGAATATTCGAACCAGCCCCACCTGGTTCCAGAAAAGTGGTAATAGCTACAAATATTGCAGAAACGAGTTTGACTATCGATGGAATTTATTACGTAGTTGATCCAGGATTTGTAAAACAAAAAGTGTACAATTCAAAAACTGGAATGGACAGTCTTATAGTAACACCAATAAGTCAAGCAGCTGCAAAACAAAGGGCTGGAAGAGCTGGAAGAACTGGCCCAGGAAAATGTTATAGACTTTATACCGAAAGGGCGTATAGGTAGAGCTCGATTTGAAATTCACATTCGAAAATGCGAATTTAATTATAACATAAATTCCGAAATCTTTTTAGGGACGAAATGCTACCTACGCCAGTTCCAGAAATTCAACGTACTAATTTAGCAAATACAGTATTGCAACTAAAGACTATGGGGATCAATGATCTATTACACTTTGATTTTATGGATGCTCCACCTGTGGAATCTCTGATAATGGCTTTAGAGTCTTTGCACAGTTTAAGTGCACTAGATAACGAAGGTTTATTGACCAGACTTGGAAGGAGGATGGCAGAATTCCCTCTGGAACCTAATTTATCTAAAATGCTCATCATGAGCGTACATCTACAATGTTCTGATGAAATATTGACAATTGTCAGCATGTTATCCGTGCAGAACGTCTTCTATAGGTAAGAAATAACATCACATGAGAACTACGAATGTATATTTAATTTTTGTAATTTTTTTTAGACCGAAAGACAAACAAGCTTTAGCGGATCAAAAGAAAGCCAAATTCAATCAACCAGAAGGTGATCACTTAACTTTGTTGGCAGTTTATAATTCTTGGAGGAATAATAAATTTAGCAACGCGTGGTGTTATGAAAATTTTGTCCAAATTAGAACTTTAAAACGCGCTCAGGATGTTCGAAAGCAACTATTAGGTATAATGGACAGGTAATTATCAGTTTATTTATAAATACAATTCACTAATATCTAATAAAACGAACTAATCATATATTTTATTTTATCAGACACAAATTGGACGTAGTATCTGCAGGTAAAAATACCGTAAGAATTCAGAAAGCTGTCTGTTCTGGTTTCTTCAGAAATGCCGCAAAAAAAGATCCTCAAGAAGGATACAGAACTTTGGTTGACAGTCAAGTTGTCTACATTCATCCAAGTAGCGCTTTATTCAATAGACAACCGGAATGGGTAAATTACTGAAGATTAAAAACGTAGTTATAAAAGATATACATAACCAATTTTTTCTTTTATCTTTCAATAGGTTATTTATCATGAATTGGTCCAAACAACGAAAGAATACATGAGAGAAGTTACAACCATAGATCCAAAATGGTTGGTAGAATTTGCGCCAGCATTTTTCAAATTTAGCGATCCCACGAAACTTAGCAAATTCAAGAAGAATCAAAGATTAGAACCGCTTTATAACAAGTACGAAGAGCCGAATGCTTGGCGGATATCAAGAGTTCGAAGAAGACGTAATTAAAATGTTTATTATACAATTTGTAAATAGTATTTTGTACAGTCATTATTTAAGAACTAACACCAATAAATAATTCGAATATACTAGTTGTTTTCTTCATTTCACATCATCGTATAATACAAAATTAAACATTAGTTACAGAAAACATTGCTTTTCATTTAGATAATTATGAAATACGTTCCACACGTTGAAATCATAGTAGTATTTCTTCGTGCTTATATGTAGACTTATGATTTCTTAAGTAAAACAAATTATACACGATAATTCGTGGGTAATTGCTTCGTCCATTGCAAATTTATAGCCTTTTAAATATTTACACTGAAAATGCAAGAAACAGGACCCACTGTTTTTTACTTTAAAGTATAAATTTTGCATTAGATCTTGAAAAATATTTAAGACGGAATTTGTTTGTACTGATATTAACAAGTACAATACAAGTAACTTAGTTTTCTGAGTCTAATATTGATTAACTTAATATAGTTCATCTATATATGTAAATTGTATTAATAGTACAAGAAAATGTGTTATACACTTTGGCATTATTTTTTACAATTTGTTTTCGAAGCTAAAACGATACAGTGTATCAGTCTCAGAGAACAGGAAAGTATTTAATTATCATATCTTTTGTCAGTCTTTTCCTCTGAATTAATTATTAAATTTATTAAATAAATACATTCTCCACAAACATTTAATAATAAAATGATGTAGGAGTAATTGTTCTTTCTTACGTATAAAGTTTTCTTTTTCTCGTAATTACTCTCAACATATCTCCTTTGTATAAGAGTACTTTTAAGTAATTTTTAATTCATCTTATAAACACCTTATATAACAGCCGTGAAATATATCTCATCTTAAAATTGAAAATTATGCTTTTTCTTTGCGTTTCCTTGTTTGGATTGATTCGATTTATATTGAACTATACTCTTTGTTGAAGGAACATCTTGTACATGGCAGACTACTGAGTATGCTGTTTTTTTTTGACTAATTCCACCAACTGTCTATACCTTGCTTGGCATTCATCCTTTAAAATGAATAATATCGATTATAACAAATATATTTTAAAAAGAAATGTGTTGTAAAATATCTTATACAATACCTTGCTCTTCCCTTCAACGCAATTTGCGATTTTTTCCCATCTATCTGCAGATGTGCCTTTAGGATATTTTATAAGAGCTGCTTCTAGTGCTCTTTGTTGGTCTTGACTCCACTCACTAATATTTTCTACGTTCTCGGCACGTGTCTTTGTCTTTTTTGAACGTTCTTCCACCACAATCTCCTCTGCAGGCAAACCGGGTTTTAATCCTTCGTCTTTTATCTAATGAGCATAAAAAAAAATTACTTGTCGAAATAGAAATTACAATTAAAATTAATATAGACCGATATAGATGAGAGAGCAACCTTTTTCGCCATGTGCGTAACTTCGGCAACTGTACGATTCATTGCGTCCGCAATTTTATCCCACCTCTCTGATGTACCACTAGGATATTTCTTTACGAGTTTTATTAATTCTAATATATCATCATCAGTCCACAATCCCCCAGAAACAGCAGGTTTTTGGTTGATTTGAACAACATGATTTATCTGATCCTTCTTCGATATTTCTTTCACGCCATTGCCACTCCTTTCTTGTGGCGTGAAACCAGTCCTGCGTCTTCTTGTACGAGACGTGAATTCAGGTTCTGGTTGTTCATTTTCCTGTATCCTAGAACAGATCGTATAAAAATTCTAAGCATATCCAATGAATGGAAAATCTCTGGCAGTGAAAGATACGTTTCATTCAGACATCAAACGGTGTTCTACTCACAATGCCTCTTCCTCCTTCTGTTTCTTCCTACGTCTCCTCTCTTCTATTATACCATTCATCACACGGACAATTTCAGGTATGGACAACGTAAAGGCGATTATCCATCTTGGAAATTGAAACGGGAGAGTGTTCCAAATAGTCGGCGTGGGAATTTTCTCCAAAATGTCCGCCAAGTCTGGCACGTCCATCTTTCCCTTCTTATTCTTTTTTTGCATCTTTTGAAGTTTACTGCCTAAAACTTGCTCCTGCAACGTGCATTACGACAAACTGACAGAGCAATTTATCTTTCTTATTACTTTTGAACAACCTTTCTTACGTACATATGTGTATCTCTTCTCGAAATACGCAGCCCACGAGACTACATATTGCCCGACGGTAATCAGCAGAAACAAAATTATCCCTAATTCTAGAAGTCCCATTTTCCGCACATGGCGGTAGTAATACACGGCTGATCGCCAGTTTGGTAATCCATTGACCAATACGTTGTCATATCGCTGACGTTTTCCAGGATCCTTCAGGACATCGTAGATAGCAACCAACTGCAAATGATATTCATTAGAAAAGAATATTTGTTTCGAAATTACGATATAAGCCTATGACTTACTTTTCTGAACTGTTGCTCTGCGTCTTCTGCGGGATTTTTATCTGGATGCAACTGCAGTAACAAACGTCTGAAAGCTTTCTTAATCTCCGAAGTGTTTGCGATCTGAAAAGTGAATTCGTTTATCATTTAATGAATTCATTTACTTAACACGCGAACGAAAGCAATAAGAAACGTGAGAAACCTGTGGAACACCAAGGACTTCGTAGAAATTTTGATTGACGTCCTCGACGACATCGAATACCTCCAATTCGTCATTGTCCCAAGCATTCGCCACATTGTATACATTGAAAAAGTACAAAACTCG